GAAAAAAAATAGCTTCTACCCATCACCCCCCACTCCCCACCCCCAACAAGGAAATTGCATTTGGTGAGCAAATCCACACATACCATGAGGACAACTTTGTATAATTTTAGTTCCTATTTCAGACACAAAAGAACATCAGTCTTGGAAGAAGATCTTCTCTCTCTATGTCTCACCTTTTCTGCAGTGTCTCTATCATGTCCTGATTCACCTCAAAAGAGACAATCTTCATGTCCTCTCCATCCTCCTCCTCCTCTCTGTCCATCTTGTCATAAAAATCAAAGATGTCCTCGGGAACCTTGGCCTCACTTTTGTCACCCCCGCCATTCTCAGCAGACGTCCCTGCAGAGGGCGCCTCTGTTCCTGGCTTGTCTTGACCACTGGTAAACTGGATTGACACAGTTGGAGTTTTAGTTTGGTTATTCTAAATATGCTGTAGTACTCGCTGACATGTCTAAACCTACCAATAGCAAACTTCAAATTCTTTATTAAGTCTTAAGCAACATAATGTTGACTACAAAAATATCTTTCTGTTGTCAACAGTACTTTTTAAATTGATTTTCAAAAGACAGTCCCTGATTTACACTTATTTTAAAAAATGCGTCTCTATTTTTTTTACTTAAAATACCAGCAAATATTGCACTTTCAAGAACTTGTTTCCTTTTTTTTTTAATTTCACCGCAACATACCTTGATTCCCTTCTGGGAGACCTCAGCCACCGTGAGATCTTCCGTAGCATTCTCGTCCACACGCAGCCTGCACTGTTGGATGACTGGGTCCTTTAACAGCTTCTGCATCACTTCCTAGAGACAGACAGAACAGATATCTTATCAATATTTTATTTTATCACTAACCCTTTAACAGCAGCGCCTCCTAGGAACAGAATGGACAAATATCTTATTAAAAGGTTATCATAAATGCTGATATAATATCCTTCTGGGAAGAGTGGACATACATGTGACCTTATTAGAAATACTGACTGGATGTCACTGCCACTTGGCATACGTCTATAGTCTTATATCTGAATGTACATTACTTACAACTTAAGACATTTTGAGATATAATAATAATAATAATAATAATAATAATAATACTAATAATAATAATAATAATATGTATACCAATGCTGTGATACACGTCATACTCACCGGGAACTGACTTTCCAGGAAATATTTGTTGTGTTTCAGGACCAGCTTCACCTTCCCATAACTCAGAGTACACAGCTGAAAGTGAAAAACATTGGAATGACTTCTTTAAATATGTCACACAAAACAGTGCATACAAAACAACTTGAAATTACTACTTCACTCACCCAACATATCAGTAACATTAATATTTTGATACTTTATGCTTATCATAAAAGATTTAGAAGAGAGGAGAGAAATAGAATATGAAAAGGTGAAAAAGAAATAAATTAAAGACCAAAGATGGCAACTTATGAATTAGGTTAAGAAATTAATTGCCAACATTACCTGGTCACACGCACACATCTTACCCTTATCAGGAAGTAGTACAGCATTCTCATGGAAATTCTTATCAACTAAGCCAGACTGATGTTGTTGACAAGGGGTCCTGGAATTCTAAGAGATGACAAACATACCACCCAAACTATTCACCTTGATAAACTCAGCAATTCCGTCTGGGATGGTGGTCTTGCTCAGTCTCTTCAGATACTCGATGATGTCAGCCGTCTGGAGGCCCACTGAGACAGCCGCGTACAGGGAGTAGGCCGTCAGTTTGTACTCATGGATGTGCTCAGGGCGACACACGGGCTGGAGAAGATGAAATGTGTCACAGTGTCACAACAGACACAATCTGGAGTCTGAGAACAACACTTGCTCCTGTCTTGGTCATGAAGTGACATCTGGTGTTGTCTTTGTTATTTGTGATTTTTTAATTCATTTTAAGTTATTTTTCATGACATTTACCTTGTCAACAAGCCACAGCTTTGACAATACAATCATTTTCAGCCAGAATGTTGTTTTTGAGAGCAGAAATTTACAAATTCAAGAAAACTTTTCTGTAACTGCTATACCCTTTCTATTTTCTGAATTGTGCTGTAATCCCACTAAATGTGGATAAAATATTGTCAACTGTTTGGCTCTCTCTATATATATACTAACTATATACCTCCTTCCCAGAGATTAACAAAGGAAGTTATGCGAATGTTCATTTAAAGCCATGGGCGTAACTAGGCATACGCACGGATGCATTGTGCGTACAATTTTTTGGCCAACCATGATATTATTTTATATAAATTAAGTGTTTTTTTCACGGAATATAAAAGAAAATCCTCTGCTTATTAAAGTCACTTGTATGTACAAATCCTCTGTATCAATTGTATAAGCCAATTGTTCTGACCCCCCCCTCCCGTCTTGCAAACTGAGGTAAACAATGCCTGTAACCTTAACATGTCCTATCTTAATCGTCCATCTAACTGGAACTTCCTTTACCTCTTAATTGGAGGGTTCAGTGGCCCTCAACTCTTCTGTACCCTCTTTCTTAAGAATATCTGGCAATATTTATCTCAGGTAAAAATCTGCCCGAGTGTTATTTTCAAAGAGCAGCTCCCGCAACCCTGAGGGCACTAGATAAAATCTGGACACCAGGTTTAAGAAGGAGCTAGAGAAACAGAGGAAGAATTTTTCCTGCAAAGCTTCAAAGAATTATGACACGGACTTGACCCAGCTTACCCCTCCAAACTAACAGGGTGACATGGGCAATTTTTACAAACAAATAATTAAACTTAGATGTATCAGAGCTCTGTCGTGTCGTACAATTGGTTGTTTTTGGGAGCCATGCATCCACATGTAAGATGAATGAAACCGTATGTTAGTTCAACCCAGNTGAGAATGACTCTAGAAAAGATGTGACCATCTGATGCCTGGGAAAAGAAGGACATCAATTAAAAAGAACATGGACATATTAAATCATGATATCAAATATGAAATCAATAAATTTCTGTAACATGTATAGAAGCAATTCATTTCACAAGAAAGTAACTATAGATTAAAATTCATAATAACTCAATGATTTTAACTACTAGTTTTCTACACAATAGTTTGTACAATGACAATGTTCTCAGCAACATTGTCGTTTTTAGTACTAAAGTAGAGTTTTTATTTTTTATCATTTGTATATCATTGGGGGTGTCCATTCATGGGTCATTGACCCTTTAGGCAAACCCTTTTGGGTACAATCTTATTTTTGTATTATTTTAAAGTGACGTCGTACTATAAGTTGTAAGTTGTTTTATTATGCTCTTTTAATAATCTTGTATATTCTTGTACCCAATAAAGTCATTCAAATCAAATCAAATCAAATGCACCCAGTCCAACACCAGCCATTTTTATACAATTTGTCCTGCCTACGAAAATGAAACTGATACTAGGCTAATAAAAATATCTGTTAATTTCTTCAATGACTGACCACTATTTCTGCTTTGAGATAGTAGAATCTTAGGCAACATTCACAATGAGTTAGGTCGACCTAGCAAGTGCAAATGAACTCAACAAGGTCTCCGACTGAATGTATTTAAATATTATGTTGCTTTCCACCCTGCTGGCTTAGAGAAGCACATCTAAGGGACCATTCTCAGACCCAGCCGTACTAAATGTGGATTGATCTATCTCCATATGTGACCCAGTCTTACTCACCACCCAGAGAGGTCTTGACTTATGGTCCAGTTTCAGCTGTAGTATACTTCTATAGTCTTTAGCTCCATATTCATCCTCTGGACCCGACTCTTTCACATGTCTTGACGCCGCCTCTGGTGCATCTAGGATAGGGAAATATGCTGTAATAGGCTGTTCCAAACCAAACAAGCCAGCTAAATATGACAGATGAATTTTAAAACAGAGTACAAAGAGATAAATTTTGGGCCATTATGATTAACATTTTGCAGATGTATGAAAAAACTAATACAAAAGAATATGGCTTTTTGACAAAAGAGTTAAATGAGAGAAGTCTGAAGGACTTCCCAAAAACACTTCTTGAACAGTTACATTCAATACAGAACAACATATAAGAACTGTAAAAAATACAAAAAAATTTCTCAAATAGATTGAGAGCACTAGATCCCACCAAGTCAGCACTGACTACACAGAGTACGCTCCTCTGCGAAATTACAGTGTAATCACAAGTCATGAGCCAACAGTACAAGTACCAGAAGCGCTTATACTGCTATTTTGATAGAGTAAAACATTTTAGCGCTACATAAAAAGGGAGTGTACTCACCTAAAGTGGTGGATTCTGTGTCCTGGGTGTCTTCATCATCATCTGAATCAGAGGCATACTTTGGCCGCTTGGACTTCTTTCCACCTACCAGTACCAGTTAATGAAATCATTCAACATTTGGTCATTTATCATTTCTTTTCTACAATGCATTTTAATGATGCCGGCAGAATATATATTAATATGCTTGGAGTATTCAGACATTTTAAAATGTGCTTCAGCATGAAAAAATAAATAAATTCTGGGTCTAATGTCTAACCACGGAAAAGGACCAATAAATTAACACGAGGGGAGCAATTTAAGTGACTGCTGAGCTACTGTAATATTACCAGCCAAGGTGAAAATTATTGGTTTGATTTTCAGTTTTTTTTTTTTTTTTTTTTGATTAATCATACCCTTATCTTTATCTTTCTTAGATCTCTTTGCGCCTCCCATCCTTGTTGCCTTAGCTCCTTTCTTCAGCTATGACCATAACATTCTGTGTAGAGTGCGTACAGCTGAAATCGAGGAGCTTTCTAAATCTTCGCCACTTGCTTATGACAGCATAATTTGTCAGGGCTTCGGTGTGTGCGCAAGCTGCAAAGTTGGACATAATAACAACAGGTGCGCTTATAATAAAGGAGTAAATTCACAATAATTCCCTAAAAATCCTTGATAAAAGTGAGTTAAAATATTCAAAATGCATAGAATTGCTCAATTTGGGATGCATTTGATATATTTATATAATATTTCTTATTATTTTTTCTCAACATTCTGCGCGCGTTTTTTCTCGCAAAATTTACTTCCGGCTTCATTTGCAAAGGCTCGTGGCGTGGAAAAGTGGTAGCCTTATAAAATATGGTAAATTTATTAGTTAAAGACTCTCTGTGTGTTATAGAATTGTATTTCAAATTATTGCAGATATCCTGAACGACTGTTTCATGTGAAAATGTTGTCTGTAGTTTGTTCAGAGACCCCAGAATTTTTATTTGTTTTCCGGCGTCTTCGTTGACATTGAACAGTGTGTGACTTTTTATGTTGTTGTTGTTTATGTATGCTAATAGTAGAGGAACGTTCGGTTTGTCGATGAGTATGCGAATATTTCCATTTGGTTCATTTTATTTAATATAAGATAACTAGATTAATGGGTTAACTGTGCAATTTTTTAATAAGTTTTTTCTTAATAAACTTTAAAGATCGTCAAGTAAAATTACAGATATTTATTTAAAAGATGATCATCATGTTTTTTTATAATGATACATATTTTATGATGTGTTCTGTCTTCAGATGGAATCTCTCCCCGGTCAGGTTCCCCTGCCACCCCCCGTGGCAGCGGGACCCCCCTCATTGCCTCCCACCAACCAGATGCAGAATAAAACTCCCATTAGCTTATTACAGGTAGAATTTGTAAAAGGGATAACAACACTTGAAATTAGATCCATATGTCTCAATAATTGTAAACATCTCATAGAAATATAATACATTCTATTTTTTACCACAAAAACAGCAGTTATAGCTATTATTCTGAAATCTGTGCTTACTGATGAGAATAAAAACATAGTTTTCTTGCTTGGTAATGATCAGAATTTTATAGATAATAGATGTGTCAGGAAAATAAAGTTTAAGATATCATGTTTGTTAATATTATTATTATTTATAATTTTTCTGTCTTATATGTAGGAAATCTGTACTAAGCGGGGTATCACACCACAATACGATCTTATTGCAAATGAGGGGGCTGTCCACGAACCAACTTTTGTGTTTCGTGCCTCGGCTGGTGGGTTCACAGGGACGGGAAAGGGTAAGTAGCAACAATACAGCTCCTACATTTTCAGGCCAAAATTGTATTATTTGATTAAAAATTACATAACAGTTGCAATCTTTAAGTGTAAGAATGACAATTAATAATGTTTGATTTTCATTGATGCATATTTTTTAGTAACAGACCTTTAGGTAGATTTTTTTTTTATCACCAAAGAGGAGTGAAAGAAATAAAAGTCATATAAATATTAACCAGAATCTTTTATGCACAGGCCCCAGTAAGAAGAAAGCCAAACATAACGCTGCCAGGGCAGTTTTGAACCAGATGATGGGACAGAGCAGTACAGCTGATACTGTAGTATATGAACCCCCTCAGTAAGTTAATTGTACCACCAGCGTTAGCGCTGGCGGTACACATGGTTTTAGTCCCGTCCGGTCCGTTCCGCCGGCTCCTGCGGCTCCGCCGGCTCCGCTGGCTCCGCCGGCTCCGCCGCCATGTTACCGTTACCGCTTCTCCTCCTAGACGGTAAGGGCCCCCATACTCATCTCTTGGATTTAGGTCACCTATAATCTCAACTCGTTCCACGTAAAATTTGGGCTTTGTCGGTATTGGGGTCTAGGTGTGGCACTCATTGCAATGCACCCTTGTCCAAAAATGGCAAAATTAAATGCTAATTATCTACCCTACGGAAGGAATTATGGGAAAAATTTCTACAGAAGGCTTTCCAAAAGTCATATGTGTAGATTTCAAATATGCCCTTGGATTTGACCTTTGACCTTTATTTCAAGGTCAAATGGGCAAAAATTTTCAAAAAAATGAATTTTTTTTCGAAAAAAAATTTATTTGCGCTGTTATTCAGACACCACACAAACTTAACCAATAATATTATTGGAAAATGTTACCCTTCAGGTCATCTTTCATCTGT